GTACAGAATCGTCCGGTTCTCTCTAGAACCGGACGATTTCCGAGTTTTCGGGCGATCCGGTTCCTTTTTCACTATTTCCGAGTCGAACCGGGCGAGTCCGGTTCGACTCGGCGTTTTTTAAAACGCTGGAAGAAAGTATATATTTCTATGCAGTAGGAGAAGTATATAAACCTTTCTCTTTGTGATAATGCCACCGCGATTACTCTCTTTACTTTACTCTCACCTCTTCCCTCCCAAAAAAATCCATAGACCTAAAATTTTCTCTTTCTCTGAGTTCTCTCACCTCTCCTTCGTAAAATTTATCCATCCCTTTCAATCAATTATTATAATAAATATAATATGTATAATCTTAATAATTATTATGATGATAATAAATGAATACTAAAATAGTACAATCTAATTATAATTACAAAAATTTAAATAATAATAATAATATTTTATTTTTAAAAAATATTCTAATAATGAGTTTTTTTATTGATTCTCTCAAGTCAAGTAGGATTTCTATACATACATAGTTCTCTAATAATTATTAAAAATAGTTTTTTGTAAGAATAATTTATTTTTATTAGAATGTTATAATTACACTTAAATTTTTAATTTTATTTGTTAATTTTTTTTCTATGCGCACACTCTCTCTCCCTCTTCATCTTCATGAATGATAATAAATATCCTATGTATTATATTCACAATTATTATTATAATTTTAATAAATAAATTTTAAAATAATTTAATATAATTATAATTATATTAAACTAAATATAATTTATTTTTATTAGAATATTATATTTATAATTTTCCTTGATTCTCTCAATTACAAGTAGAATTTCTATACATATATTGGTAAGAATAATTTATTTTTGTAGAATGTTATAACTATGTCATAATTATAACTAAATTGTGTATCGAAACTGAATTAAAAAATAATAAAATGAATAAGACTTGCTACCATGAAAGGGAAATAAATAAATAATATCAACCTTATTATTAGAATGTTATAATTGTATTCACACTATAGAACATTTTATAATTATACTCAACAAATTTTGAACATTTATATATCACTGTTTTGTATATGGATCATTTTTTTAATAAGAGTATTTTTGGTCATTAAAAAGGGTGTGAGATCATCCACATGAAATGCGACATTACTTATTAAAAATATATTTACGAGCATTGTTGAGACCTCTTTCTCTTCTTGGGTGCGGTTTATATAGAGCCTAGGCTCTAAACAATCAAATTAGAGCATACCTTCAAATAGAGTCGAGAAATGCAATTTCAATACTGAAAATCTTTGTGATAGCCTTAACATATGTTTTCATCTTTATTTATAAAGTTTAAAGCTTCAAATATAGTGTAGATCAATAGATCTATGAAAACTTGAAAATTGACGGTCCAAAAATGCATTTCATAGAACATTATTTCCAAAACTTGAAATCCATTTTTTTTTCTCATGTCCATGCATTTTGAAGTCGAGATGATCAATTTGAAGATATTTGAGCATAAAAACAAACTCTTCTAATGAAAATTTTGAGGTAAGCTCTAATTTGATTGTTTAGAGCCTCGATTCTCTATAAACTTTTCCCTCCTCTTAATCTCTCACACATATTTTAGGGATCTTTTCTTTATCTAATCATCTCTCTATTTTCAAGGGAAATTATCTCCTACAATCTACCTTCTCTTATATCTATCTATTTTCAATATAGCAAGAGAGTATTTATCTCATAGTTTTTTATTTACATAATAATGGAAATATGTTTTATTCCAAAGTCCTTCTATTTATCGGGTTCCTCTCTTAAACTTTTTCTAGCTGCATGTACCTTCTTGTTCTCGCTACATCTATCCACCCCTTAACTGTGACTTAATAATATAATATAAATATATAGTATGAATATAATATTTAGTAATATTAATATAATAATATCATATAATAAATATATTAGAGGATTATATACTATGTGACAATTAATTTATAATACAAGGTCACAATCAATTTTAGCCAATGGATGTAAAATTTAATAGATGAAAGTCTCATAACATTCAAAAAATTTTATTTCGAACTTTGTGCCCAAACAATGACACATCTTCGACCACCAAATTCAAATCTAATGGTCAATGATGATTATGATGTCCTTGTTTCAAAAGTAAGTGATCTCATTTTATACATTTCCATATATTATAAGGTTGCTTTCTAGTGAAATTTTGGTTTCGGTGGGAGAAGCCGTCTCTCCGTGAGAAAGGACACATTCACCAGACGTCCCAGCGCACATTACATAGTCCCTTGCATCTAACACACAAAAAAAGATTCATGAAAAAAAAAAAAATTAAATTAAAAGAAAGGCAAATATTATTTATATCTTAAAAAATATATTAAATATACATTCATTTGTAGATATATAAAGCATTAGGACCACTACGTGAAGTTCATACAAAATTCATTTACTAGAAGAAATTCACGAGTTCTTAATAAAATTCGTGCTTTATTTTAAGTATCAATCGAGAGATAGAGTTGCAGGTACTCTCTTTCAAACTTTCTTCGCAGAATGACCTTGCGAAATTCCTATTTGACGCCTCGCTAGGTACCGACGAAGAAGCAACCAATCCAAGAGTGCATCGGGCAGCAAGCATGCCAAGGATGATTGGATGGCATGGGGAAGATAGGGGATGCACCGAGCCTCATAACCCACCCAACCAAGGCAAGAGGACACATACACCTCCGGTGTGGGTGCAAACCACGATGGCTTAGCAACGGATGTCATTTTAGTGGCTACATATAGTGGAATCTGAAATCCCCACAATTCAACCATTCATATTCATAAAAGAAGAAAGTGAGTCACAACATATCATTAACCACCTGATTTCAAATTTAACACTCAATGATGATTGTGACCTCCTTCTTGTAAAAAAAATAAATAATATCATTATATACATTACCTAAAAATAATATAAGAGAAAATAAAAAGGGAAATAAAAGAAAATGAAGAGAGAAAAGAAGCACACCTGGCATTGCACATCAATGCCATGGGGTTTATACTCGACGTAGAGGCTTCGCGAGAACTGATCAATATACCTATCATTTTTTGACATCCAACAAAAAATAAATAAAAAAAATCAATTTGTGCACTTCCTACTGAAAGTGTAACGGGAAAGTATACTAATATCCTCATGAGAATGAACATTCGTAGTCATGAGCACCATCACCATCCATTCAATGGTCACATGTTGATGGAAAGAGTGGGACGTCAAAAATGCAAATCTAGTGATAGTCCACAATTAAGTTCCCAATGAGACATCTAATAATCACCATAAACTAATAGACGTGCATACAATAAGAACGTTTACATTTCGAATAGGGAGGTCGTAACTATTATTTAAGGCACAAAGTCTAACATGAAATTTCTCAAATGGTGTAACATTCTTCAATATGAAAAGATTTTACATAAAACAACTAAACGTGATTACGACATTTTCCAAAAAAAAAAAAAGGACGATCATGTTATATGCAATCCCTGGATGGCTTAACTAATAATTAGCTATCCAGTTAGTCACTATAAAGCTCCCGAGTATAATTTCACAAAAATCATGCTATAGTCAGTACACCAACAGATAGAAATCAAATATCGTACCATGTAACGGACGGTAATAGAGAGAGTTGGACGTATCATATAGGTCTTTTGCATTGTATTTCTGCATCAGGGAACGACAACCGACATCATGAATGGAGTCTTATGGTACGTGCCAATTCATATCAGAATTATTTTTAGCTATTGGATGTGAAATCCAACAAAGAGACCATTTATTTTTTTTATAAAAATAGGTCACAATCACTTTGTCATTTACATTACAAAATGGACGGTTGTAAAAGTGTCATTGAATAGATTCAAAGTTTTAAAATTTTTTTTTTCGAACTTTGTAACTCACCGCAAGCCATCAAATTTAACATCTAATGAATAGAAATAAATGTGACCTCTTTGATCCTCCCACAACCATGTGTGTAAGACCCTAAAAAATCACCGTTAAATTTGACACAAATCTCTAAAAAAGTTATCATATGGGTATGTAAACTTGATTTTTCTAGAGATCTGTATTTAATTTAATGATGATCATTTAAAATCCTACACACGTAAGTGTGGGAGGGTCTCACAAGGTCATTTCCCTAAAGATAAATAGTCTCTTTGTCTACAATCCCATCATTTTCTATATTTTTCTCTCATTTTGTTTTTTTCTTAAAGTGCAACTTCGTATACCTTGTATTGTAATACTTACAATCATTTTTTATAATCTTTTTTTTCATTTTTTCTCCCTCTTTCTTTTTTTTCTTTTACTAAAGTGTAACTTCATATACCTTGCAAATTTTAGGGGTGTGATACTTCCAATCATTTTCTATAATCTATTTTGTTTT